CGTACCGTAGGTCCACCTACGAACCATGTTGGTCATCCATAACTCTTGTGAGAGAGTGCTTGAAGGGAGTCTTGATCGACGGTCACGGACTACAGACCGTAGTTTGACCTTCGGACTGTAAGTCCGTCCGTCGTCCAAGACTTAACCAATTTTTCTAAGCTGAAATTTTTGGGAGTTTTTGATCCCATCGACGGGTGTGCAGGACGAACCATGGTTTAGGCTACGATCCGTCGATGCCAACGTTGGTAGCACCTGCAGATTTTTCTGAATAAATAATTTTTGGTCTATTTTAGCTACAGGGTGTTACATTAATTATTTGATAAAAATACTGACTTTCGGAGGTCAGAATCTCAAAAATTGAAAATAAGGATACCGACCTCCTGAGGTGAAAACATCAAAATAAAAAAATGCTGAGCTTTTTTTTATAGATTAGTACTTCTTAACTAAATTTTGACTTGATTTATCTAGAATCTACAACATAATTACAACTTAATAGGGGAGAGTGCGAGGACAAAGTTGATATTAGCAATTTGAAGGCACAAACCACAATTGAGGAAGAGGATCATTGTTGGAGAATGAAGATGTTGGGTAAATTTTTTATAAATTACCCATGAATATTTACAAATGATTTGATATTGATTTTTATCTAAAAATATTAACCCCCTTAAATTTCAAACTAATATTATTTTTGTTCTACATAAATGGAAATATTTATTCACGTGGACAATAACTTGGCATCTTTTTTAAGTACAACTAGTAAATGGCCTCCTGCTTCGCGCGGTAGAACATTCTTATTTAAAATCTATTAGAATATTTTTTTTGGTACTTTGATGTTATAATATATTTATATAAACATGTTTTTAAGAGTGTAGGGACTATTCAATTCTATTTTATCATTTGTTAAATTGAAAGAAAAGGTAAAATTATAAATGATGACATTATTTTGTCCTAGTTTACATAATTTTATTTTACGTGGTTACACAGTGTCCTTAATTAGAGAGTCAAATAAATATTTTCTCAATCTTCTTCTTTGCAAATGTTGTTGGTATAACACTATAAATTACTCTCACAATATTAAATATTTTTAAAAAATCTATTTATAAAAATAACATGTTTATCAAGAGCAAAGGTTCCACAATCATATCGATAGGTAATATGTAGTCAGTATGTGTTTGAAAATTAAGATGAAATCTTCCAAAATCAAATTTTGATATGTAATATAGTTATGATTATTTTTTGGAATTGAAGTTTTGCACAATGAAAAGATTAAGGATCCTTGAAAAGTATGAAAGAGACGTTAGGGATAATGGGGAAAAAGTTCTAAAAAAAATACTTTGGTAAAAGAGAATAGTAATCATTGTGTATCATACAGTTATAAATAATTACTGGTTTTAATTCTATCATTTGACTTTATGACAACAATATAATATCATATAAATTCTCAAGTTTGATTGCTTGTAGAGGAAAAGATTTTTTTTAGAAAATATTGTGAATGAATGTATTTTTGTAAAAAGTTATTTGTGAAATTGCATAGTTTGAATTACATATAGTTTGTACTAACAAATACTTATAACAATAACTTTAAAAAAACAGAAACAACAATATTTAAAACATGTAGTAAAAACCAACAATTATGATTAAAACCATAAATTAATGACTGTACAAAAAACATATCACGATTTATAACGATAGAATGAAACAAAAGAAATAAAAAACTCAAGCCCAATGAATGTAGAGTGTGTCCTTGTTAGTGAGAAAGTCAACAGGAGCAAAATACACAAATATTTATTTATGCAGAAGAAAAAGTTTTAAATCAAATATTTAACTGTGCTAAAAACGAATCTCAGAATTTTCGTTATTTTAAAATGAGAGGAAACCCTTCTATTTATTGCTATTTAATGGTAGTGTGAACAAATGAAAACCGTGCCTTATTGAAAATGTCACAAATCTTCGAAAAATTCTTAACTTTTTGGAAAGGTCACAATCTTTCATACATGTTACAACGTATCATAAAAATTGCACCTCTTAATGAAAGACACAACTTTTCGTAAAAATCGTACCTTTTAAATAGTCACAACTTTCCAATAAGAGTAAAAAGTTTACCTAAAAGTGACAACTTTTCATGAAAGGCTATTCAATTCTAGTTTACCATTTGTTATATTATAAAAAAAAGGTAAAATCTCAAATGATAACACTAATTTGTCCAAGTAATTTCATTTTACCTTGGAAACATAGTGTCTTTTATTAGAGAGTCAAATAAATATTTTTCTCAATTTTCTTCTTTGAATATTTTGTTATTATAACATTATAAATTACTTTCAAAATTTTATTTTTATATATATATGGATGTGTGTGTGTGTGTATATATATATATACATATATATATGTGTGTGTGTGTGTGTGTGTGTATATTTGATGTCACTTAGGAGAAGTATAGGGAAGTGTGCCTGAGTCTTCTATAATAAGTAGTTGTGACTCGGTCTAGCTAGGACAGAGCCATCCTAAAGAGACTTTCTTCTGTTCTAGGTTTCCACAAAGCGGTATCAGGGTATATAAATATATATACATATATATATATATATATATATATATATAAATATATATATATACATACATATATATATACACACACACACACATATATATACATACAGATGTATATATGTGTATATATAGATATATATGTGTGTGTATATGTATATATATATATATATATATATATATATAAGAAATATGTAGTCATTATGTGTTTTAAAAGAGATATATTATCTTCCGAAATACAAATTTGATATCTTATATTGTTATCATAGTGTTTTCGAATTGAAGTTGTGCATAAACAAAACATTTAGGATCCTATAAAAAGGATAAAAGTGAAGTAAGGGAAAATCGGAAAAAATTTAAAAGAAGTAAGTTGGTGTGAGAGAATAGCCATTATTGTATATCATATAATTATTATTAATTGCTAGTTTTAGTTCTAGCATTTGACGTTTTTTTTCTGCTCTTTTTAATATTGACATTATTATGACGCTAACAAAAAATCATATCAACTAATAACTTTAGAGAAACAGAAATAACAATGTTTAAAATATGTAATAAGAAACAACAATTAATATCATAAGCATAAATTAATAATTTTAAAAAAAACATACCAGGATGCGTAACAATAGAATGAAATAAAAAGGAAAAACCGAGTCCACAAAATATAGTAGGTCTCCTTTTTAGTGACCCACTCAACAGGAGCAAACTACACAAATAATTAATTCTACAGAAGAAGAAGAAGAAGAAGAAGAGGAGGAGGAGGAGGAGGAGGAGTTCTGAATCAAATATTTTACTTAACTGTGAAGAAGAAGCAGTTTAGAATTTCGTTATTTTAGAATGAGAGAAAACCACTCTATTTAAAGACACAAAGCATAGTGCAAACAAATTTTAATTATATCTTAATCAAAAGTTCATAACTCTTTGCAAAAGTCAAAACTTTTCGAAATGGTCACAACCTTTAATGAAAGTCGCAATTCTTCATAAAAGTCACAACTTTTCAATAAAACGCACAACTTTTCATAAAATTCAGAACTTTTCATGAAAGGGAAAGACTAATTTTGGATATAAATTAATTAAAAGGGAATTCTTGTTCGTGGTGCCACGTAGGTGGACCTAGGGTATATATATATATATATATATATATATATATATATATATATATATATATATATATGATTTGAGAGTTCACACTACATACAATTCTCGAATTAATGATATGTGTTTTAATATATATATATATATATATATATATATATATATATAT